GTTCAAAATATAGTCATAAACCAATGTCCAATATGAACCAAGACTGATTATGGATACGGGGTTATACTAAATAAAGTGTCCTATTATGAATTAATAACTTAAACCCTTAGAAAATAAATACAATTTTACGGTTATTTCTGAAACACTGATATGCTTTCACAGTATCAGTATAAAACATGCAAAGGTGCAGATAACAGTGGGTTTCTAAATGTTTTCTATAAAAAATATTGTTTTTATGATGATTAAATGGTCAGTAAATTGTGCCAAATTGTGCCAAATGTGCACTACTTAATGAAAAGGAGAAACTGCATAAAAACTATAAAACTTAGAAGCCTGAAACTTTAGACAGTTGTTGTCAACAACACAATGACCACAGGGTTTGAATATTGTGAACTTACAATGAAGTATGCCTTTTTTAGGGCCTTTAGAAATTGAAAATGTTAGGCGAGGCTAAAAAAATTGGGATTTTTTCCTAAACTTCAAAGGATGCAGAGGAAAATAGGAATTACAAACATTATTTTAGTGTTTTTTACATAAATTAGAAGGCTCTAGCTTTAAAATGATGCATCACACAAGCATGTTAGCCTGGCTAACGCCAGACTGCTGTGTGCGCTCGAATCCTTTCGAACTTCATTTCGTCTGGCGTTAGCCAGGCTACAAGCATGTGAGATGTAAGATGTGTTTTTAAATAAGCAAAGACATTTGGGTATGCCCAACTTTTGTGCACAAGCCAAAATGAGGCGGCTGAGAGGATTATAATTATGGACCAACGGCTCCATGTGTTTTATCACTGCTTTTCTTGTTTTTGAACTAATAATAATAATAATAATAATAATAATAATAATAATAATAATAATAATAATAATAATAATAATAATAATAATAATAATGATAATAATGATAATAATAATGATAATAATAATAATGATAATAATAATAATAATAATAATGATAATGATAATGATAATAATAATGATAATAATAATAATGAAAATAATAATGATAATGATAATAATGATAATAATAAAAATGATAATAATAATAATAATAATAATAATGATAATGATAATGATAATGATAATGATAATGATAATGGTAATAATAATGATAATAATAAAAATGATAATAATAATAATAATAATCATAATCATAATCATAATAATGATAATCATAATAATGATAATAATAATAATAATGATAATAATAATAATGATAATAATGATAATAATAATGATAATAATAATAATAATAATAATAATAATGATGATAATAATAATAATAATGATGATAATAATGATAATAATAATGATAATATTAATAATAATAATGATAATAATAATAATAATAATAATAATAATAATAATAATAATAATAATGCATCAGTTTTATAAACAGCACTTTTCAGGACACTCAAAGATGCTTCACATGTTATTATTACTATTACTCTAGCCACAGCTGCCCTGGGGCACACTGACAGAAGTGAGGCAACCAGTCTGTGCCCTCAGCCCCTCCCACCACCACCACACACACACACACACACGCACACACAGACACACACACACAAGAAGTATTCTGAAAGAAGAGCAACCTTGGAAGAGCACAACTCTAACTTTATATAACAAATAGAATTCATAAATACAATATTTCTGCCTCATTCTGTGCATTTATTAAAGTCTCTCCCAACCCAGAGCTTCTCTAAGTATTACGAACAAAACATATTTCTATTTATCTGGAATTAAAAACAAGTATCATTCTATTACTACATTTAGAAGCTCTGTGTTTTTGATAAAAGTCTCATTAGTTTAAAAATGTACAAAAACACAAAGTTACTGAAATAAATCATTTCATATTCTCAAAAGAGGTGTTTTTGTTTTACTTATTTAACCAAATCAAATATGGTTCAAAGTTCCTAAAATAATCTTGTTTCAGATAAACTTCTGAAAGTGTTTTGCAGCAGATCATATCAACTCTGATGTTCTCACTGATGGAAAGCCCTGACTCTGAGAGAAGTATTCATCAACCATATTGTTATTAGAATATATTCATCAACCATATTGTTATTAGAATATATTCATCAACCATATTGTTATTAGAATATATTCATCAACCATATTGTTATTAGAATATATTCATCAACCATATTGTTATTAGAATATATTCATCAACCATATTGTTATTAGAATATATTCATCAACCATATTGTTAAGAAGGACATTTATTAGAATATTCTCAGAGAATTAAAAACTAATATAAATATCAGTTCTCACAGGTGTGTAACTGATTATCTGGGGTCTTGGGGAATAAATGGAAACTCATAATTAATACTGAAGAATACTTGTTTAGACTTGAACACTTCACTGAACAGAAGTTTGTCACACCTCACAGACTCACAAACCAGATTCTTTACAATCAAAATTCTAAATAATGTTATCCACAAAAAGATGCTCAAGATTTGGGGTCTGCAGGAATCAGACTCATGCGGCTTCTGCCAAACAGATGTTGAATCATCTGAGACTGATTCTGGTTCTGTCCTGTGGGGGCAGCATTTTAGGTTATTATGTATAAAATAATACAAATATAGACATTTAAACTGAATATTAAGTCATGTCTTTTGTCAATATCATTAGGGTTCTTTGGAGACTTATAACATAAAGAAACTGTTTCACTTTTGATATTTAAGTCAAGTGAGAAAGATTTAAATACTGTGAGCGTCTTTATTATGTTGAACACTTTCACAATTTAGCAGAATGTTCAATCAACTCAATCAACTTTATTTGTATGGCGCCTTTCCAACACAAGGCCACTCAAAGCGCCTCACAACCCACATAATATCACACAAATCAGAGACATCAATAAATACATTAAAAACAGAATAAAATCACAAGTAATGAAAAAAAAAAAAAAAAAAAAAAAAAAACTTAAAATATTAAAAGCACACACGGGATTAAAATAATAAATAACCACAATGCATTAAAAAAAAAAAAGAGTATGTATCAATAAAATCCTTCAGCCGTATGCACAGCTAAAAAGAACAGTTTTTAGCCCTGATTTAAAAATTGCCAGAGTAGATGCTAGCCTCACATCTTCAGGAAGATTGTTCCAGATTTTAGCTCCATAAATCTCAAACGCTGCCTCCCCATGTTTAGTTCTGACTCTTGGAACCAGTAAGAGGCTACCTCCTGTGCTCCTCAGAGTCCGGGCCGGTTCATATGGGACTAACAAGTCGCTTAAGTACCCTGGTGCGAGGCCATGGAGAGACTTGTACACAAGCAGTGCTGCTTTGAAGTCTATTCTCTGAGCCACAGGAAGCCAGTGCAGAGACCTGAGAACTGGACTAATGTGGTCATATTTCCTGGTCCTGGTCAGGACTCGAGCTGCAGCATTTTGGACATACTGCAGTTGTTTTACAGCCTGTTTGGAGAGACCTGTGAGCAGGCCATTGCAGTAGTCTAACCTACTGGAGACAAATGCATGGATGAGAATCTCCAGATCTGATTTAGACACTATGTTTCTAATTTTGGCAATGTTTTTCAGATGGTAAAATGCTGCTGATGTTACTGATTTGATATGACTGTTAAAATTTAAGTCTGAGTCCATTATAACTCCCAGGTTTCTGACCTTGCCTACAGGTTCCAGGGAGAGAGACTGGAGGTGACGAATAACGCTCTCTCTTTGTTTCTGAGGACCAAAGACAATCAATTCTGTTTTGTCTGCATTTAGCTGAAGGAAGTTATTTTGCATCCAATCACTAATCTGTTGAGTACAGTGAAGGAGTGATTCCACTGGTCCATGTTCTCCTGCAGTAAGTGAGACATAAATTTGAACAGAAGAGGCCCCAGAATTGATCCCTGTGGCACTCCGCAGGTCAGAGCCATATGATCTGAGACACAGTTTCCTATCTGAACCAAGTATTTCCTGTCTTCTAGGTAAGACCTAAACCAACTTAGGGCAGTCCCAGTGACACCCACCCAGTGCTCTAGTCTCTGCATGAGGATCTCGTGGTTGACTGTGTCGAACGCAGCACTCAGATCCAACATTACTAAAACTGTGACTTTTCCTGTGTCGGTGTTAAGTCGGATGTCATTTGTAACCTTCACTAGTGCAGTCTCAGTGCTGTGATTGGCTCTAAAGCCGGACTGGAGCGCATCAAAGGAACTATTAGTTACTAAGAATTCTGTAAGTTGTTGGTAAGCAACTTTTTCCAGAATTTTTCCCATAAACGGCAGATTTGAAATGGGGCGATAATTCTTAAGAACTGTGGCATCTAGACTCCTCTTTTTTAGGAGGGGTCTGATGACTGCCGTTTTCAGGGCCATTGGAAATGTTCCAGATGAGAGAGACATGTTCACTATTTGTGTGAGCAAAGGTAAAAGACTGCTCAAAACAGACTTAAAAAATTTAGTGGGTAGTACATCCAGGCTACATGTGGAGGAACTAAGGCTAGAGACAACATCTTGGACAGTTTCATTATCTGTTGGTGCAAAGTGCGATAGCTCAAACAGCCTCACCGGCTGTTGTAATGTTATTTCTGCCTTGGAGGTGATGGCGTTTTTGATGCTCTGAACCTTGTCATTGAAAAATTGTGCAAACTCATTACATTTAGATTCTGAAGCAAATTCGAATGGCAGCTGAACAGGGGGGTTTGTTAATCCGTTAACTGTTGAAAACATAAGTCGTAGATTATTATTGCAGCCATCAATGGTTTTAGAAAAATAAATTTCTCTTGTTCTACGTAGCACCCTGTTAAACTTGCACAACTCATTTTTGAAGATATCATGATCAACCTGGAGATTGGATTTTCAACTGGATTGGAGTTTCAACTGAATGTTCAGTTGAAACAGAGCAAAAAAAGCTCCAAAAAAGGTGAAGATTCTTGATGCCTTCTTTTTTGGAAAAAAGTCTGATTATTATTCTTCTTATTTGTTTTCTGTCCTTGCTTTAGGATTTTGTTAAGCTTTTATGGATTGATTAATTTACATTGTACTAAAGCCCCGCCCACCTTAGCCCCGCCCCTCACCTGAGCAGATGACGTCCTCACTGGGTCCAGAGGGACAGGTCTTGGGTCTGGAGCGGGGACAGTCCATCAGAGCAGACTCATGGCCCTCACAGTGGAACGTCTGCCCCAGAGGAGAGAGCTCCCCCTGGAGGACAGAAGGAGCATTGCAGCCCAGCTCCCTGCACAGCACCTCTGCTCCCCGCAGGTCCAAGGCCCCTTCACAGACCGAGATCCAGGACTGGTCCCATATTTGCAGTGATCCAGAGCAGAGACCAGAGCCTCCAACCAGCCGCACAGAGTCTGAGACAGAGAGGACTTCATCACACTCTGGACACAGAGTCTGAGACAGAGAGGTCTTCATCACACTCTGGACACAGAGTCTGAGACAGAGAGGTCTTCATCACACTCTGGACACAGAGTCTGAGACAGAGAGGACTTCATCACACTCTGGACACAGAGTCTGAGACAGAGAGGACTTCATCACACTCTGGACACAGAGTCTGAGACAGAGAGGTCTTCATCACACTCTGGACACAGAGTCTGAGACAGAGAGGACTTCATCACACTCTGGACACAGAGTCTGAGACAGAGAGGTCTTCATCACACTCTGGACACAGAGTCTGAGACAGAGAGGACTTCATCACACTCTGGACACAGAGTCTGAGACAGAGAGGACTTCATCACACTCTGGACACAGAGTCTGAGACAGAGAGGTCTTCATCACACTCTGGACACAGAGTCTGAGACAGAGAGGACTTCATCACACTCTGGACACAGAGTCTGAGACAGAGAGGTCTTCATCACACTCTGGACACAGAGTCTGAGAGTCTGAGACAGAGAGGTCTTCATCACACTCTGGACACAGAGTCTGAGGCCCTGTCCACACAAAGTCAAGCTCAGGCCTAAACGCAAAAATACTTTATCAATCCAGTGTATCGTCCATACGAGGCCGGCGTTTTGGGGGGGTGTAAACGAACATTTTTGAAAGTAGGTCCCAGAGTGGAAAGATTTCAAAACTCCGTATATGTCGCTCCGTGGTTACTGCCTCTCCGCAATGTATCTGAGACGCTTGCGTCATCGCCCCGCCTCTTGTTAAAGCACGCATGCGCCGCACTCAGAAAATAATGACAACAACAATGTAGCTTGTTGGTTTTGTAATCCAGTGCGACCCGAAGCAACAGTTCAACCTCATCGTCCGTCCATACTAATGTAGTACCAGCTCGCCCACTCGCCATGTTGTCTGTTTACAAAATTCTGCTCATGCCCAGTTCCCGTCACGGAAGTTTGGGCTTGATCCCGTCATTGCGTCACAGCGCCACCAACAGGCCTGGCATAGTTTCACAGCGTTTTCAGGCGTATTGACTACATTCATATGGACGCACACATTTACTGAGCTAACTCCGTGTTTACAGAAAAAGTTTCTGAAATTATAAGCGTTTTGTATTTGTGTGGATATAGCCTGAGACACAGAGGACTTCATCACACACGAGGCCCATGGTTACTGTGGAGGAGCTGCAGACATCCACAGCTCACCTGGAGGAATCTGTACATGGGACAAATATTAGTCCTACACTTCACAGATGTGGTCTTTACAGACAAAGTGTTTACATAAAAACACAAGAAACAAAGACGGACACATCCAACATGTGGAAGAAGGAGCTGTGCTCAGATGAACCATCTGTATCGTCGACGATACCTGCGCACATGTTTTACTAATGATCAATTTACTCGCGAACGGTAAAACGTAGCAACTTACTTTTTTTTCCTCTGTGAAGTACATATTCAGGGCTGATTTGTCTGTGCTATGCACGGAGGATAAATTACGTTTGTCTGAAAGTCCGTGTCCAATCGGATGTTAGCGGTGACCCGTGAGGTACAAACAGCTGTGAGATACAAACACACGGGGACTGCCAAAGATCGTCAGAGAGTGAGATGTCTCACTCCTCTGTGTGCACTTGTTGTCCCACAGTTGAAACTACAGCTGCGATTGCAATGGGCTGTATGCACGGGGAGGCGTGATGTCACTTCCTGTTAACGCAGATCAGCCCGTTCACTTCCTGTCTGTGCTCTCCTGTGGCTTTTAGATGAGTTTTAGTGACGTTTTTTAGTAATTAGATACTTTCAGCTGAGACTGACCCAAAAGTGTCACTGAACTTTCTCTCTGAGGTAGAGCTTTGACCGTTTGTAAACTTTTTAAACACACAATGACGGCACAATCAGAGATCACTGCTGTGTCCCACAATGCACTGCATCCTCACAGTTTAATTCCCGTTTGAGCATTATTTGGGAAACTCTAAACCACTGAACTCCAGTGAAACTCAAGCTGTTCCCGCGAACAGGAAGTGAAGTGGAGCTTTAGCTAAAACGCAGAAGTGGTGCATAGAGCCCATTACCGGCTGAAGAGTGCACATTATTGATAAAGACGATCATAAATAAAATGACGTTATGTGAATATGATGTATATAAATATATGTATTATATAAATATATATATATATTTTAGTCTTAGTTTCTTATGTTTTACGTTTTTTACAGCTGTGCTACAGAAGCAACCCCAGCATCACAGACAAACTGCTTCAGGAAGGGCATCAGGAGTACAGAGTTTTGGCTTTTATAGTGGACTTTTGTAAAAAGTATAATAGTCACAGATTCAGTTTTCCATTATCTCCATGACCCAAATAACAGTTCTGTGCAGTTCTGTTTTTTTAATACATTGATTTTCCATTTGATTCTTTTCTTTGTCTTCATGACTCCATAAGTTTTATATAATTCATATGACAGCTTTACAATATGAATATTCTAAAACCCCAGGTTGTACTGAAAAAAAACAAAGTCTATTGCTTGACTCTGCCTCAAAACACTGTTTTATGAACAATTATACACAAAGAAAACCAGGCGAGGAAGGATCCCCAAAATGACCCATGTGTTTAGAGGATTAGGACTAAGTCCTGGGTCTACAGCCTCAGTCCTGGGTCTACAGCCTCAGTCCTGGATCTACAGCCTCAGTCCAGCCTCAGTCCTGGGTCTACAGCCTCAGTCCTGGATCTAGAGCCTCAGTCCTGGATCTAGAGCCTCAGTCCTGGATCTACAGCCTCAGTCCTGGATCTAGAACCTCAGTCCAGGGTCTGCAGCCTCAGTCCTGGGTCTGCAGCCTCAGTCCTGGGTCTACAGCCTCAGTCCTGGATCTAGAGCCTCAGTCCAGCCTCAGTCCTGGGTCTACAGCCTCAGTCCTGGATCTACAGCCTCAGTCCTGGGTCTACAGCCTCAGTCCTGGATCTACAGCCTCAGTCCTGGTCTACAGCCTCAGTCCTGGATCTATACCCTCAGTCCTGGATCTAGAGCCTCAGTCCAGCCTCAGTCATGGGTCTACAGCCTCAGTCCAGGGTCTGCAGCCTCAGTCCTGGATCTACAGCCTCAGTCCTGGGTCTGCAGCCTCAGTCCTGGGTCTACAGCCTCAGTCCTGGGTCTACAGCCTCAGTCCTGGGTCTACAGCCTCAGTCCTGGGTCTACAGCCTCAGTCCTGGGTCTACAGCCTCAGTCTTGGGTCTACAGTCTCAGTCCTGGGTCTACAGCCTCAGTCCAGCCACAGTCCTGGGTCTACATTCTCAGTCCTGGGTCTACAGCCTCAGTCTTGGGTCTACAGCCTCAGTTCTGGGTCTACAGCCTCAGTCCTGGGTCTATAGCCTCAGTCCTGGGTCTACAGCCTCAGTCCTGGGTCTACAACCTCAGTCCTGGGTCTACAGCCTCAGTCCTGGGTCTACAGCTTCAGTCCTGGGTCTACAGCCTCAGTCCTGTGTCTACATTCTCAGTCCTGGGTCTACAGCCTCAGTCCTGGATCTATACCCTCAGTCCTGGATCTAGAGCCTCAGTCCAGCCTCAGTCATGGGTCTACAGCCTCAGTCCAGGGTCTGCAGCCTCAGTCCTGGATCTACAGCCTCAGTCCTGGGTCTGCAGCCTCAGTCCTGGGTCTACAGCCTCAGTCCTGGGTCTACAGCCTCAGTCCTGGGTCTACAGCCTCAGTCCTGGGTCTACAGCCTCAGTCTTGGGTCTACAGTCTCAGTCCTGGGTCTACAGCCTCAGTCCAGCCACAGTCCTGGGTCTACATTCTCAGTCCTGGGTCTACAGCCTCAGTCTTGGGTCTACAGCCTCAGTTCTGGGTCTACAGCCTCAGTCCTGGGTCTATAGCCTCAGTCCTGGGTCTACAGCCTCAGTCCTGGGTCTACAACCTCAGTCCTGGGTCTACAGCCTCAGTCCTGGGTCTACAGCTTCAGTCCTGGGTCTACAGCCTCAGTCCTGTGTCTACATTCTCAGTCCTGGGTCTACAGCCTCAGTCCTGGGTCTACAGCCTCAGTCTTGGGTCTACAGCCTCAGTCCTGGGTCTACAGCCTCAGTCCTGGGTCTGAAGCCTCAGTCCTGGGTCTACAGCCTCAGTCCTGGATTTACAGCCTCAGTCCAGCTTCAGTCTTGGGTCCACAGCCTCAGTCCTGGATCTACAGCCTCAGTCCAGCCTGAGTCCTGGGTCTACAGCCTCAGTCCTGGGTCTACAGCCTCAGTCCTGGGTCTACAGCCTCAGTCCTGGATCTACAGCCTCAGTCCTGGGTCTACAGCCTAAGTCCTGGATTTACAGCCTCGGTCCAGCCTCAGTCTTGGGTCTACAGCCTCAGTCCTGGGTCTACAGCCTCAGTCCTGGATTTACAGCCTCA